TAATTCATTCATTAATTATAATGTATATATAATTGTAGAACCTGATGATGAATTTATCGAAAAGAGTACTCTTTGTTCAGTATCCATTCTTTTGAAAATTTTAATGGGCCTTTTTAATCAGTTAAAAAACCATATCCTCAAAAACCACAAGGAAACTCATTCTACCATATATATATATATATATATATATATATATATATATATATATATATAAAATATCTCTAAAATAATGACTCGAATATTAAGAGCATTTGAGATGCACAGCCAACACATTCACTTCATTTCATGGCCAAGTTAAACGTTAAGCAGCACTAACTACCAATCAGCGAACGACCTCGCATGGTCCAATGAGGTTCATGCACGTGAGTTCAAGGTTGTATAGCGCTTGATTCATTACAAATGCGTGCTCTAACGAAGTTACGCTTGTAGTTCAAGGAGGATAAGGTTTTGCAGTATTGCCTGGATTTGGGGATTGCTTGGAAAGGAGAGGATTTGTTCATGTGGTGGTGTCATGGGTTTAAAACGTTTCAGCAGGTCGACTGATGGATATGTCCATCATTGTGTGATTTGCTTGAGACGAGTTAGCAATAGAGAAGGTAAGCTGATAATTTTGATATTTCGTAGCAACATTTTTTGCTAAGTCGCATCTCTCCCTAACCCATATTTTGTACATTTTTGTAAGTATTGGGTTTTAAAACAGCCTGTGACAGGTGCAGCTACTGAAACCGAAAATAGCCTCGTGTCAACAGTTCAGTGGTACGGTCACTGCAGAGACATTGCCGCATGGAAAATGGAGAGAATTACTTCGTTGTTAGGCGTAGAAGATGTCGTCGTACACGTGGACGAAAATGTGTTACTGAAGAAAAAATGTAGCTGTGGTCGTGAGTGAGCCAACAATGTTTGGGTGATTGGTTTATATGACACCTCCCCACTGAAAGGATTCGTGGAGAGAATAGCAGATAGAAAGTCTGCTACCTTAGTACCTATTGTCACTCGACCGGTGAAACAGGGATCCATAGTATATACTGATGAATGGAAAGGTTATGACTCGCTGTCATCTCTTGGATATATTCATCACCGAGTGAACCATTCTAGTGATTTTTTGGATCCAATTACAGGGACACACATGTATTCATTGGTAGGATTTCGGGGAAGATTGAAAAATAGGATTAAGGCTACAAATGGACCTCAAAAGGATCTCATTTATAGTCATTTGGACGAATATATGTACAGAATGTTGCGTGACTTTTCTATTGACACTCCTATGCTGAACTGGGAGATGTTTCTGACACATGTTAGAGAAGGATACCCCATGTAACAGTTTTAAGCAGTTTTTATGCTTTTTTTCAATGAATATATGTTTTCCTTAATCAAAAGTCCCTCTTTCATGTGATTGGTCCGTTGAAGGTCGTTCGCTGATTGGTAGTTAGTGGTGCTTAAAATTTAACTTTGCCCATTTCATATTCTGTACACCAAAGGATTCAACAGCAAAAGAAGATAAAAAACAACACACCATCTACAAAACAAAAAATACATAAACTGCGATAAACACTACATCGACCAAAGTGGGCGTCTGCTCTCGAATCACAATCCAAGAACATTAATTAGCTAGAAAAAAGACACGACACTTTGTATTTTTCCCATATCGATGCATGTAGACAATCAAGGACAGCAAGTAGGATTGGGAGAATGTGAAAATCTTTCGAAGAGAGGAAACATCAAAAATGCAAAAAGAATTTCTGGTTTGGTAATCGAGTGAATATCAGAGATTAGGAAGTGCATTACTATATTGATCAAATTTACTAACTAATAAAGAATAAATCACGTGAGATGAAATTCTCCGGTTTCGAATAAACACGAAATTCAGTGATGATTTCGCAGTTATTGATTTCTAAGAAGGAAAAGTTATCTAAATAATTGAATTTTTATTACTTTTTATTATCAGCGTACTGATGTGAGGTGGGTCTTTGAAATAATGGAGAAGATTTGTACCTCAGGTAGATAGATGATTTTGAATTAGTTTTGTTCTCTGAGCGGATTGATGAATTAATTGCGGAGCTTTCGTCATCCGCCTTCTAGACGACATCTTCAGAGCAGGTTTTAGTAAAAAAAAACTCATTTGAATTCTCTATGAATGATGATATAATTGTATATCCTGGCAACCACTATCGTGACTACCCCATTATGGGTAAATTTTGTTTTGATAAAGTCTCACAGTGTTATACAGTAATGTTTACTGATGACGTTTCAAGCACAATTTATTACTGCTCATAATCATATCAAGGTAATCATACGACTTCCTAAATTCATTTATATAGTTCCATTGTTTTTCATTTGATTTTCACTTGATTTGACTGGTAGTAGTATTTCCCATATTTCGGGTATGAGTGATGAATCATTCCTATTGCATATGTTGGGTGTAGATTCGATGAACAAAGATTCAGTAATCAACCTCTCTCTCTCAAACTATCTTTATTTCTTCTTAGAATTTTAACCCTCTCCCACCCACCCTATTGTGTGGTTGTGTGTCAATGTATGCATTGCAATTGCTGAGCTTTTTTCTAAATTACTTATCTTCTCTGGGTCAATTATTCTTACCTTAGCTAAATTCTTATGTTCTGACAATCTGACTACCCCTGACATACTAGTTTGACCTATGTTGTTGACCTTGCTCACAGTCATTGCAGGGTATTTTGTAAATTATATTATTTTGCCTAATTGGGTAAATTGGGTCCTTTAACCTAAGGACCTTGTCCCTGAGTGAGTTTGTAGGTTTAAATGCTACTCTAATTCCTGCTTTATTGAGAATCCTACGTCGGGTCTCAGATGTCCCCTCCCTCCTTATATGGTATAACAGTAGATGACTTATATTCTCTCTTATTTATGTTATTATTACTAGTTTCACAATTCTTTTTATTTTTATTTTGGCCTTTGTAAATCTTCCTAATGAATTTTAAAGGATAATTATTTAACACCAACACCTCTTCTATTTGTTTTATTTCATCATTTAGGTCTTTTCTTGTGCTACTTAGTGCTATGGCTGGGTTTGTTAGACACTTAACTAAGCCTGCCTTAACAGTTAAAGGATGAGATGAATTAAAGTCTAAATATCTACTAGCAGAATGCGTTGGTTCTCTATAAACACTAGTGTGTAGTTTGCCTTCTTCTATTCGTTTTATTTTACAATCTAACATAGCTAATTCTCCTTGCTCATTTTCGGCTTCAGATGTGAATTTTATTCCCTCCACTAGTGAGTTTATATGTGTCAAGAAGCTGGAGATATGTTCTGTTTCTATCACTGTGTGTGAAAGTGTCATCCACATATCTCCACCATATTTTGGAGTAGGATTAAACGTATTAAGAGCCATATTTTCCCAGCTATCCATAAATATATCTGCTACGATAGGGGATATTGGTGATCTATACCATTGCTACACCTTCAGTTTGCCTATATATTTTACCTTGAAATTTAAAGATAGTAGATGTGAGGCATAACTGAATTCCTAAAATAATTTCTTCAATGGGTAGTTTCGTCCTATAAGTGAGTTCAGGGTCTGCAGTTAGTTCTTTTTTAACTGCTTCTAAGGCGGGCATATTGATTGGTATGTTAGTATAAAGACTGGTTATATCAAAACTAACCATCGTTTCATCATTCTCTAGTTGAATGTCATTTAGTTTATTTTTCATCTCAAATGAATTAGCCAGTGTAGAGTTTGAGCGATTTCTAATGGGACATTATATTTGAGTTAAGTGTTTTGATAATTTATAAGTAGGAGTATTCCTAAAATCTACTACCCTCGTTTATGTATTTTAATAGTACCATACATTCTACTAGCATTATTAGTTTTAGGCATGAAATTCAACCATTTCGAAACGTCATCAGTAAACATTACTGCATAACACTGTGAGACTTTAGCAAAACAAAATTTACCCATAATGGAATTACACTCTACCACAGTGCACAAGTTCTATTCTTATATCACTATCGTGACTACTTGTTAATTTACGTCTCTGTTAATCATATTTTTATTAACGTGGAATTCAAGCTCTCTTGTCATGTGATTTACTTTGTATCAGTTGACAGATTTGGTCTATATTGATATGTTTGTTAATCACTGAATCATTTTGAGTACCAGATGTTTCCTCTATTTGAAATTTCTACATTCTCCCAATCATCAAAGCGGTGTCCACAATTATCCACATGCTTCGATACGAAAGAATGTATATATCATGTCTTTTTGCAACCAGTTTTGTATTCTTGAATTCGGATTCGAAGGAGGGACGCCCAATTTGACCGATATGATGTTTATTGCAGTTCATACAGTTAATTTTGCAAATGGTATTATAATTTTATCTTCTTTCTCTGTTGGATCTCTCGGTTTGCACAATATCTAATGAAGTGATTATGCTGGCTGACTTGTGTACTATATCCACTTCAAACTGTCCTAACATTCGAGCTGTTATTTCAGCGATATTTCTTATATATAGTAGACTGTGGAATTTTCTTGTAGTCTTTGATGATGGTTTCTTGTTGTTGGTGTTATGACTCGAGTTTAAACACCTTTTAATGAAATCTTACAGGTGGGAATTCATTCTTTTTTCAGGACGGTCAGTAGATATCTTCCCTCTATTCTCTTCAACACAGGAGTGCTACAGTGCGTTTAAACTCTTTTCTAAAAACAATGTCTGCAAACAATGTTTTTTGTGTGGATCTTTCTGGAATTTTTATTTACTTTCTTTTCTTCCTCATTCTCTGTGGGCTAACAAAACAAAACAAAAAACATCCTTTTTCGTAAACATTTCTGGCCTACCTACATCAAACAATTCCTACAAAATTTTCTTTGTGTAATTTTCTTTTGAAAACATCAACTGTTCAATGTTAGCTAGTTGAGAGTTAAAAGGGACAGCTCAGTGTGTTATGTAATACAACGAATACCAAAAATGCAATAAAATAATAATAATGAAAAAAGTGTGTTTGGTGGGGGGGGGATGCAACTAACCTGACTTGATGCTGGTGCAATTATTCCTTCAATATACATTTTACTAATCATTTCAATTGTAAATAATAAGGCAACCATTAAATCCAATATAAATGTGATATACATTAGGCTTGGAACTTGTTTAAACGTGTCTGGTGTATTCATACTAACTGAAGCAAGACTGACCATTGCAGCAGTACGGAACATTATTCTATAATTGAAATAAAAGAAAATGCACCACAACAATTAGTTCCCTTTATGAATTTAGATAAAGCAATAAGAAGACGTAATTTGTCTGAATCGTGTAATGTTGTATTTGCGCAACACATTTCGAACAATCTGATTACATACACATGGACTTGTCATACGAATACATATTAAATTAATAAAGAGTTAACGGAGGTGAGGAAATAGACTTACGTCAAGTTAAAAGGACATTTTGAAGGTCAAACTAACAATGAAGACCACTAAACCAAATAACAGAGGTAATAGTACATCTATCCTGGTATGTATCAAAACAAAATTTACCAAGGAAGGTTTAATGTGATGACGAATTGTTGCTTTGAACGCATAGAGGTGACTTGAACTTTCTAATTGCTAGGGATTCCACAAACTTTATGATACACCCCAAATACGTTTTATATATAGGTTTGAAAGATCTGTTAACGTGAATTTTATGTCCTGTTTCTATAATATGTTTCGCAATAGAAGAGTTAGGTCTCCTGTTTTCACCATTAATGGGTTCTGGGGATTCCATTTGTTTCTGAAGCCACTTAAGAATATGCTCTGAAGCCAGCCCTTACTTGCAGAGATCTATGAGTCCTCCCTATATATGTGTGTCCACACGTACATTCAAATTGGTAAATACAGTGGGATGTGACGTCATTTTTCGCATGTTCGAAGGGCTTAGATGGATGGATATATTGACCTTATATTCTCAATTATAATGATATTAGCTGCATAAAGTTTTTTTTAACAGCAGCGTTCAGTCTTTGTCTAGTTATCAACCTGCTTTGATGCCCCATATACGGTAGCTTGATGTACACGTCTTTCTTAGGGGCGAGTTGGAGAGTGGGTCTTGGTGATCTGACTACTTTATATCTCCTGATGAACTTGTCTGGATAATTGTTATCAACCAGAGTTTGTGTCAACTTTCCTTCTTCCGCATCAAGTGTGTTTTCAGTGCATATTCGTTGGATCCTACTGAAGAGGCACCTTACTAAGGCTCTTTTGTACCGAAAAAGGCATAAACTGTGGTAATTAAGATACTGTCCTGCTCAGGTAGGTTTTCTCTCTCTCTCTATATATATATATATATATATATAATTTTCAAGTATTGGTTTTGTAGGGATTTTGTTTGATTAGTTAGAGGACTGCATCATGAGCTGACATCAATTAGAGAACTATTGAAAAATCACCAGGGAGTACTGGATAGCTGTTTCGTCCTAGTCTCCTAGGACTATTCATCAGTACGCATCCACCAACAGGGTTCGAATCCAGGAACTTCTGGTTACAAGGCAAGCGAGCTCGTAGACCATTAAGCCAATGGCCATCCCATGAATTCCAACTTCTGCCAATTCACGACATAGCACGACCACTTTATTATCAAGCTACACAGTCACACTTATTTCGTGTGAAAGATGCAGTTAATTGCATTACAAATTTCTTAGTCAGTCAATAAACAAGATCAGAGTTTCTTTTTGTGGGTGTGTGTATGTCGGGGGGGGGGCGGGGCGGATATTATACGATTATGTCAGAAAATACCGATATTCACAAGGATAAAATAAGTCACATGTTGTTGAGAGAAAAAAATAAAGCTGAAATTACAATGATTATAAAGATAATGGAAGACAAAGTGAAGTGGGTGGGATAAAATTGTCCAGTAGAGATATTACAAAGCTAAGGTGAAGCAAGCGGTTTTACAGCCAGACATCCGCGAATAAGTGATCAAATACGTTGGTCAGTGTAGGGTGATAGCAGGGTAATTACTAATAGAGGAAGCACAAAAGGCTGGAGAAATCTAGAGTTGCAGGAACGACTTTGAAAAGAAATCCAGGATAAGAGCCTGACTTGAAGTGAACATAGGGAAAACAGAAGGGATGCAAATTGGTCGGGGAATTTCATCATGAGCTGACTTCAGTTAGAGAAACATTGGAAAGCCACCAGGGAGTATTGGACAGCTGCTCTACCCTAGTTTTGGATTCTTCAGCAGTACGCACCCACCTCGCTGAGGTTCGAATCCAGGAACTTCTGGTTACAAGGCAAGCTGCCTCGTATACCACTGAGCCACTGGGACCCGATCCACTGGCCAGCCAGTCCATGAATTCTAACTTCTGCCAATTCACGACATAGCGCGACCATTTCGCAATGTCTTCTTCAATGAGTTGCTGCCTCATCTTCAACCTGCAGTGACCTATTGGTTACGGCTTCCCACTAAAACCCCAGGTGACTGCCTGAATAGGGCCAGTCGCTAGTGAGTATCAGACTAATTTTCAAGTATTGTTTTCGTAGGGATTTCGTTTGACTGGCTGGATGAAGATTTCACCATCAGCTGACACCAGTTAGAGAACCATTGGAAAACCTAGGAGTACTAATTATTAAATTAAATGTTAATTTTAAAAGGCATTAATATTTTTCACTTTGGTTTCGAGTGGAACATATGGCTTAGAAGACGCGACTCCATTTACTCCCACCCCCCTGCTTCTCTACAATCCTTTTCACCTGGTCTCACAATCACCCATAGGCAGTCATCTACTCCACACAATATCTCCTGCCTAACATCTTCAGATCAAAGCCAAACTCATCGTTGCACACTTGGATTCCACTCAACCGATGGCTTGTCATGCAATGTCAGTGAAGATAGTTGTTGATGAAAGTCTAAAATGCCTTGATGGAAATGATTTCCACGATGTGCTAGCCAAGTTTCTAACTCATATAGAAGAAGTGATTGATTGAATTTCATTCTTGATGCTGAGTGCAGTAGATTTCAAAACTAATTTGAGGGTGATAAAGGTGTATATTTTGACTTTCCGATTCTGGTCTTGACATCTTCACCCATGCTGTGTACCTGCAATTGAAACGATTATGCCTAATTATGTGAAGTAAGTGACTCCCTTCAAATTTATTCCTTTGATAGTGATTGTTGATGGTTGTTCTTTTTGGTTGGTTATCTTCATAACCTCCGTCTTCTCAATTCTCACTTGAATTCCTGTATTTGTTGTCTGTTTCTCCTGCTAGTTAGTTGGTTTTCGCCTGTAAGTCGTCGTGTTTACGTGACATTAGACATAATTGATCTGTGAAGCCAAGATTTTCTAGATTCCTATCTGTCCAATGAATTCCTAACTACTCAGGATCTCGCATTATCACTCCTAATGACTTTTCAGTTAAGTGACCCAAACGAAGAACGGATACATCTGTTATGGGTGTTTGGTAGGTTGATACTTAGGAAGGCTTTGATACACACTGCGCTCGTGTGCCTTAATTCGTAAAATGTTAAATGAACAGCCAATGCCTCAATAAAAACGGTATCTCTATAAACCCAAATTTTGAATAACTTATCTTCAACGCACCATTTGCACAGATCTTCGAGCTGTGGAACTTTGCGACTTACTACTGTGTTTCTTTGTGTTTCTTTCACGTTTCCCATGTATATTCACAACAGTGTATCATTTGCCTTCTCTGAAATCCAATGTTTCTTACTCCTACTCGATGTTTTTATGCCGATGAACGTTTCTTCATATACTACTGAAAAATCTTATCAGTAGCACTCGGCACAGTATTAAAAGCATTATAATTTTCAAATTTTTCAAGTGGCGGCGCAGCCTACTGGACACAAAAGCAAGAAGAGGAGCAGACGTTGGCTCAGACCACTACCTCGTACAAGGGACAATCCAAATCAAATTAAAAGCTTTCAGAGAAACAGGAGCTGCAGATAGGCCACAAGCCAAGTTCAACACTCAAAAACTGAAGGACCAGGACACAAAGGACATCTTCACTGCAAGCATAAAAGACAAAGCCGAGACACAAATCAACACTGGCGAAGAGATCAGCGTCGAAAAGCACTGGAACAACTTGAAGACAGTGTGGAGTGAAACCTGCATGGACGTTCTAGGCAGAAAGAAGAGACAGGACAAACAATGGCTTACTACGGACACTTGGAGACTGATAGAAGAGAGAGGGGTGGTGAAACAAAAGATTATCCTGTGCACCGACGAGCAACAGAAACAGGAGTTGAATGCAAGCTACAATACACCGAACAAAGGAGTAAAGAAGAGTGCCAGAGAAGACAAAAGAAAGTATTATGAAGCTATGGCCAATGAAGCAGAACAAGCAGCAGGCAAAGGAGACCTCGCAACACTCTACCAAACAACTAGGTACCTCTCAGGCAAAAATTCGTCACAAATTAAGCCAGTGAAGGATGACAATGGAAAGTCAATCATCAAAGAAGTGGAGCAAAGGAAACACTGGGCTGAACACTTCAAAAAATTCCTAAATCGACCACCACCGACAACGCGCCCAACAATGCCAACAACGGAGACGGAGCTACTAGTGAACACCACTCCCCGACGAAATCAGAAGTCCTGAAGGCAATCAAGATGCTAAAAGCTGGAATAGAAGCAGGACCAGATGGAATCCCAGCAGAAGCGTTGAAAATGGATCCAGATACAACAGCGGACTTGATGACGCCACTACTGGAGAAGGTGTGGAAAGAAGGCAAAGTACTTGAAGACTGGAAGAAAGGATACTTATTCAAACTACCAAAGAAAGGAGACCTAAGTCAATGCAAGAACTGGCGCGGAATTATGCTCCTGTCCATCCCAAGCAAAATACTAAGCCGCATCATCCTGGAAAGGATCAAACAAGCCTTGGATGAAAAACTTCGACCAGAACAAGCTGGATTCAGGAGTAACAAGTCATGTATTGATCAAATCGCCACACTACGGATCATCATTGAACAAAGTTTGGAATGGCAGTCACCTCTCTATCTCAACTTCATCGACTTTGAAAAGGCCTTCGACAGCGTCGATCGAGAGGTGATTTGGCAACTACTTCGCTACTACGGGGTGCCGCCGACAATTATACATCTCATCCAACAGCTATACGACAATGCTGCATGCCAAGTAATCCACAACGGGAAGCTCACGGAATCCTTCGAAGTGAAGACAGGAGTAAGACAGGGTTGCCTACTATCGCCAATGATTTTCCTGATTG